GTAATCGAATAACTTTATTTAATGTCGCTTCAAATGGATTCGAAGATAATTCTTTATAAGCTTTTGTTTTTTCACGATATTCAAGTGCTTTCTGTTCATGATCTTGAGTACGAAGAACACAAAATACGCCACTTTTGTCAGTAACACGAACAAGATGTTTGTATTTTTTCAATTTGCGATGAATCGATCGGACAATATTTTTTTCTCGTTGAGCACGAATTCGGCTAGACATTGATAACGGAGCCATATAACGCAGGTCGAGACGTTGTTGAAGATTTTCTGAAAAAATATCATAAATTGGTAGTGTCCGATCTACACGATGATATATAGCAAGGTAATCTTTCAATTGTTTAATAATTTTATCATGTTCTTTCTTCGTTAACTGTTTTCGTTTTTTATAGGATACAACAGCACTTTGATTCATTCTTATATAATTCGGACCTAAAAATAATTCATAATATTACAAAACAAAGCAGACTCGTGATAAAATTAGACTAGAACTTTACCTTTACAAAGATTTTCATGTTCCTGATCATTGAAAGGATTATATAATAGATAGAAAATTGGTTTCGGAGATACGTCTATAGTTTTCTTTGCTTTTGATAAACGTTTACGATAGTTTAGTAATTTTTTTCGATAACCTGACATATTTATACAGATCTGTTCAATCATTCTTTGTTTTCGATTTTTTAAATAAGTTTTTATTGAATTGAGACGAAATATTCGATCGATATTATTTTTACATTCAAATCGTAGTTGAAACATATGTAGATTTTCTTTGTATTGTTTTTCATACTCTTGAATCTTCATTTCATAAGCCTTATAGTAAATATTTAACCATGTACGTTTTATTTGTTGTATAATTCTATCACTTTGAATTTTGAATTCAATAGATGTTGTATCATGAACCAAAGGTGTATACAGATGAGATTGAATTAAATGGTCTAGAGAATCGACGTTAGGAGGTAATATTTTGCAAATTATTCGTTGTTCTAACATATTAAATTCTTCCAGAAGTTGTATCTGTATTTGTTGTAAATTGATTAATTCATCCATGAGTACCTTATTCAAATAAGTCAATTTATTTGATGAATTGTTAAAGATCTAATAAATATTTATTCACATACCTGATCATTCGGTGTTAGATAGAACGATATTTGTTGTAATACTTTTTTTTCTTCTAGAACATTTTTATATCGTGCTAATTGCTTGTCAATTGTTGTTGATAAATGTTTGTTTTGTAGACGAACATATTGTTTAAGATTGTCATCGAGTATTTCTAGTGAAGGAAGTGTTGATATCCATGATTGAGCTTGTGTATTTAATTTAATACGACATAGATCAAGATGAATTTTAATCTCATTCAAATATTCAACAATATATTGTTTACATAAATCAGGTTCATTGGTTTTGGCCATTCTATAGACTTCACTCTAAAGATTAAAAGAAAGAAACATATATTTGATGAATAACGTTATTTACTTACTGGCCAAACTTCTGGCTGTTGTTGTTGTTGTTGTTGTGATCCAAGATCCAAATAGGATTTCCATAAATATTGATCAAGATCTAAAGTAAATTCTTCGTCGAATAGATATAATCGTGCATAGACGAATTTTTGCTCATTTCGTTTTTTAAGAGGACTTTTTAGATGTATTTTTAAATTGTTCATTAGTGTGTTCCAGGATACCTTTAAATAAGCCGATTGCCTAAACACAAGAAAAATAATGACATTATTCCGAATAATATTCGAAGCAGCAAAAACGAAAACATACCGATGATTCCTATTTTTAATAGTTTTCTTAATTTTGCTTCGCCATATTCTGCTCTTCTGCTTCTTATTATTATTGTTCTTCTTCTGTTTCTTATTGTTTTTCTTCTTCTTCTTTATAGATGTTTGAAAAAATGATAACTGACTCGATGATTTAGCAACATTATAGGTTTTCTCCTTTGGTAGAGCATCTCTTTTACGTTTATTTGGTTTTTCGATTGTCGTTGTTATTATTCTACTTTGATTTCCATTCTTATCTAATGATTGTTCATGCTATTGATGAGAAATAGTAGAATTTAATCTATTAGTATCCAATTTACTTACTCCCATAGATATATCTGAAATTTTTGTATGCATATTTTGTTTATTAATATCAGTGTTATTCGCCGCTTGATCCGTTGGATTTCTCTTACGATCATTTCTTCGTTGTTCAATTAATTGTGTTATAGTTGTTTCATCCATGTTTTTTTTACGACAGCTCTGTCGAAAACGTTGATCACTACGATTACCATGACACTTTTTTTTCAAGATCGGTTGTAGTTCTTGTACAAGTTGAATATCACTTGTTATGTTTGTATCGTTAAGATTCATGTTTTGGAAAAGTATTGATCGATGAAAAGATATAGTTATCTATCTGAAACGAAAAAGATTATTTAAGATACAGTTAGATTGCAAGTCAATTATTGTTTTATTTAAATCTATGATAAAAGTTGTATAACTATTTAATGATTAGAATTAGAATGAAGACAGTGAATTTTAAATTGATTTACACATTTGATGCGTTCTTTTTTATTATCTGCACGTTTTTCAAGTAGATTAAGCATGATACTAGTTAATTGTTGTTCAATTGGTAAGGATTTTTGGTTTCGTTCTATAAACATTTTGTTTAATTCTTTGTTATATTGTTTGTCATAATTTTTCATTTGAATACCAGCTGTTTTAACATATAGATTCAACATATCGACTTTTGCTTGTTCAACAGCAGCTGTTAACTGATCATATAGTCGTTGTTGAGCATCTTGATTAATAATCGTGCTAATAAATGTTGGATGAGAGACTTGTTGATGTAATTTGGAGCTATTCTTATTATAATACGTAATACGTTCGTTGACTAACTGTACTTCTTCTCGTGTGACATCTTGTTTATATCTAGCATCATAAAGATGTTTATATAATTTGATCTAATCGAAAAGAAAGAAAGAAAGAAAGATAAGAATACGTAATCGACATACAACGAACTAATTATGAAGTCTTACACAATATTCACTTGGATTTTGTCGAAGAAATTCAAGTTCTAATGCTCGGTCGTTATAATCATATTGAACTAGTTTAATTTTATGTTCCATCTTTTGACGAAAATTTTCTTGATTTTGTTGAATAAATGTTTCAATAGTACGAAAGATTGCTTCTTTATTGCCTTGTAAACGATGTTTTAAATTATTTATTTGTATTTCATATTGCTGTATTTTAGTTTTGAATTCATCTAGACGTTCTTGAACTAATTTCATACAGGCATCATTTTGATTGTCAGCTGCATTATTTGCTTGTTTCACAATTGTTTGAACTTGAGTAGGCCAAACTGATGGACCTCTTTGATTAATATGTAATTGACCTGTACCAGATTTTAAATAAGTAATCCATAAAGATTGAAAAATTTGTTCAGATTTAATTCTATATATTAATATAGCCATTTGTCGTAACTCTTGCTCATATCGTACAGAAGCTGAAGATGTAATTGTATTATTTATTGTTGTTGTAATTGTAAAATAAAGTTCGTTGATTAATTTTTCATAAGATTCATTCTTGTTCGATAGATACCATGGAAGTTTACCGGATTGGTTTATGTTCTGTTGTTGAGATGGTTGAGAACATGATAATTGAGTTAGTCGTTGGGATAAAACTTGCTCATCAGATTTCTAAAATGAATCCAAGTTTTCATTGAAAGCAAACATGAAATTTTTATTTATTTGACTAATATTTACATTCATAGGTTGCTCATCCATATGTTCTCTTTGAGATTTATGTTTGGATATAGTTGAACGAAAAAAAAAACGAATTTTATCTAAAATCATATGTTCATTCATATTAAAGAAAATCTAGGTTCAAAGCATCACCAAAACTTTGTGAGATATGAATAGACTAATCGATTGAAAGTGATCGTTACAA